TATATATATATGCAAATGCATGCATGCAAACATTTCAGGTGCTTCCAGGCGGCGACGGCACAAGCGTATATCTGAAATATTCATGCACAATTGTCACCGGTGAAGTGTTTAGGCTTGAAGCATTTTGTTTCATGTTCAAGCCCTTGCGCATCCAGCAGGGCTTCAGTGGCCTGAAAGACCATATTAAGATATTAATAATGGATTGCAATTTCTTTCACGATTGTGCCTACGTGTGCACGGTCTGTGCATTCCGTTTTATATCCAAGAGGCATAAAAGTGGCTTTAATGCACGCAAACACGTCCCCTATTAATCCACACAGGCATAATATGGAATAACTTAATGAGGTATACAGTACTGCAAAGGAAGGGGCGTACTATCCATTTGCAAAATGACAAAAGAAAATGTGCGCGATAAAGAACCGCTAAATGACACGTGACTCGGTATTGTCTTTTGCACAATTTGAGATTGTTGTATTCCCCACGAACAGACCAGGAAGCAGATTGGGGTAACATGGAATGACCTTGGCGGTCTGCCACTTGATGCTTCGAAAAATGACGCGGCAGCGTGATCTGAAAATGGCATGATTTCGTCATTTGCAAACCCACTGCCCTTAAATTTGAGGTGTACCTTGACAGTTTGGGTTGTGAAGGTGAAACTCATGTTTTCATATTGAAATCAGCCTATGAGAGCATATGGACAAAATTAGGTATCAGGAATGCCCGTTTTCATGCAACTTGACATTTGTCGCACAAGCTCTCGAAACACAAGAGGAAAGACACGATATAGTAGCGTCAGCTTGGACGATAAAACGAAGACAAGCATTTAGCAGTGTAATCAGAACATGGGGTTCAGATTTAAAAAGATGTGAGGTCATGCTATCGAATCAAATCGTTCTATTTGATCATATATTGGCGACTGCAAACAACTATCCGTCATTGTTTTATCACAAGAGATGTACGACTTCATTTGTATTCGTTGCGCCTTGAATTTCAACCTTGTTAAATATGAACTTTGACACAAGGAGTGTTTTTACATCATGAGATCATTTTATGAAGACGCACACAGTGTTAAACTACAAACAAAGATCGAGCAAGCCCTCACCGTGACCTTTCCTATAAGATTTGACTTGATGGATTTTTGACCTTCCTTGTTATGAGCAGACTTTCACTTGAAGCCCCAGAAGGCTTGCCTTGCTGTGACATTGTATTTTGACCTTCAGATTAAACCCCCTTAACTAGCCCTGATGCCAAATAACCTATTGGGTGAATGTCAAATGAACTGCTGCTTTGGTGTATCAACACGCCAACAAATAGCAATCGGGACAATCTCGCTCTGGTGCTTTTTTTTTTCCTCTTTGGTTGAGTTTTCTGATCGTGCGTCACCATCTATTGTGCACTTCTTCCATCGCAGCTGCCTCTGCAACGACAGGCCTTCTCCTCATTGTTGTCAACCATGAGTCATGCTCCGAGCCGGGTTTTTTTTTTTTCCCTACTGTTCTTTTGGCTTTTTTTTTTTGTTTGTTTGTTTCCACGGCGGTTGCGCTCTTTGCGGCCGTGACCTGACATCCTCTTTCCCGCTTTCGGCAGCTCTGGGCAGGACAGTGAGCACAACACGACAGTGTTCACCAAGATCCTAGACAGTCTTCTGGATGGTTATGACAACCGCTTAAGGCCAGGACTAGGAGGTCAGTAACCAAAACAACGCACACAACGCTGATTTAATATGAATATAATCCGGCAAGTGGCAGATGCACCTTGGAATCGATATCATCGTTCGATTACCATGGCCGCTACTAACAGGTTTGCAAGATGGTAGAGAGATTGCAGTTAGTAACTCCCCCATTTTTTAATTGCTTACAAGTGTGAGTTGACGTTGGACAGGATTGTGGGTTCATTCGCTCTTCGCCATGCTATGAATGCTGAAAGGTACCTTGCCATGGTGCAAGATGAAAATCTGGCCAGTTTACCAGTGCTCGGGGGACGGTGAAGATTTTCATGCATGATGAAACTTCCACATTTTTCTATTGTTGCTCCTAAATGGCTAAATGCTCACTTCCCTGGGACTGAATGGGTTGTCCTTGCCTGTTATAAATGGCCCACCATGTGACCTTTTCTTTGGATTGGTTAAAGGAGCAAGTAAAGGGCACCAAACCGGTTTTTGGAAGAACTTGAAAGGCAAATTATTTTATGTCTTCTGTCATGCTAGTGATATGCTCCACAAGCTGATAGCAAAATCTGTTGCCCACATGGAATTTTACATAAACCTCAGGCTAAAAAAATAAAAATAAAATAAAAAAAGAATAATAATGCATTTAAAAAAACAAACAAAATAAGAGTGAATTTGCCATCATTAAATGCACATGGGTACACATACTTTCTCTTCATGATATATTGATATTTGATGCTGGTTTAAGCTATACGATATTGCTATTTCGTGCCACACTTAATGACCCCACGATTGTGAATCGATGTGGATGTGGACTGTTTCAAGTACTTGCTATAAAAACAAATAAATAAATAAATAAAAAAGAAGAAGAAGCCATTTTATGGTACACTTCATTGGCCAGAAACAAGGGATCCATATTGTGTGAAGTGTTGCGCGAAGGACACAGACGTTTCTGCTGCTGCGTCTACAGCAGACATCCAAACAAGAGAGGAGGAGAAATGATGGGTATGAACTTCATCCTGTTCCAAAATGACTTTGGAGTCAAAAGCGGGGGGGGAGCCCATCAAATGTTATGCGAGCGCAGCGGCTTATTTGCAGCAATGTTGCAAATTTATGAGAAGATTGAACTGTGCACCTAATGGGGCTGACATTGAAGCCAATACAAGCAGAAATGCGTTGTGACATCCAAAACGGGACGTTTTTATGGTGCTGTTTGGGATCCGGGGCCCCAGCCAGGTGGTCTTGTATTAACAGGTAGTCGGTGGGGGGGGACGAAGGAATGCCACTGATAGGCACTAACCCTCCCAATTTCCTGCTTCAACAGAGCGTGTAACTGAAGTCAAGACTGACATTTTCGTGACTAGTATCGGGCCAGTTTCGGACCATGACATGGTAAGTCTTTTTTGTTTGTTTGTTTGTTTTGTTTTGTTTCACGCCTACGTAAATGTCACCAGTTTCCCTTTCTCCTCTCCATCAACATTCCTCTTCATTGCCAATTGTGGACCCGGGAATGGTCTCCTCGCCTTAAGAGCGATGTCTTAAATGCCATGATTCATTTCACTAACTCATGCTGCATTTATAAAACTGTCTCTTGTGATAGGTATTCGCTTGCCGACAGTAAGTAATCCCACTCGGCATGAATACCATCCCCCTACCCCCTCTGCAAATGCGATGATCATGGCCACTAATTTTCAGTGCGTCATTTGTTAGCTTGCAGGAATCCAAACAATGCCATCATCGAAGTGACTTTACAGCAAACTCTTGCCATCAGCTTAACAGGGCCTCTGGAGAATTCGGTAGGAAATCGTACAAAATGATAAGCACGACATTCCAATTGAACTGGAGGATTTATAAGCAATGTGAGCAATGCCAAACAAGCCCTGTGCAAATCCCACAGTAAGCACTACTGCACACAAAAAGAGAAAAGTCAACACCAACACACTCTTCAGGCTCCAAGTATGATATTTTGTCGTGAAAACACAATTTTTGTCATTTAAAAAAACGTTTTGGTGCTTACTATGTAGCTGCGTAATACATGACTAAACAATCACTCAAATATTTGTGTTGTTACAACAGAAAGCCTAATTCTTGTGTTGAGCACTGTTAACAATTCTTTCATCGCACTTTGAACTGACTTTCTTGTTCACAAGCAGAAAATGATCCTTTGCGGTACTGAAAACCGACTCTAGCGTGAACTGTATAATGTTGTCACTTGGACTACTCATCCAGTCTGATGAAATGAATGAATGTGAATTAGTCAAAAAAAAAAAACACAAAGCGTAAGAATGACGACATGAGAAACCCCATGGTAAGACTTTATGTCCCTATAACATTGTTATGTGGTTTTTTTTCTTTCCATATGACAGCAAATAGGAACCAAAGGCAGCATTTCAAATCACAAACAATATTTGTCCTAAAAAAATAAAAATAAAAAAACAAAGGGTAAGAATGACGACTTTGAGAAACCCCATGGTAAGACTTTATATCCCTAACATTGTTATGTGTTTTTTTTCTTTCCATATGACAGCAAATAGGAAGCAAAGGCAGCATTTCAAATCACAAACAATATTTGTCCTTTGACTTCCTTCGGCCCGCATGTGCTTTCAACCAATTAACCTCACCCAAATTCTTCTTTTGTACTTTTTCCCGCTTTGAGCACGTACAAGTGCGCGCATTACTTTTGACATTGTCCTTGTTAAATTGCACCGGCTGACATGCAGGCCAGAAAGAACATCTGAGGGAGATTTCCTCACGGTTTCCTTCCTCCACTACCTTGGATCTCTATCTTGATTCTTAGTAATTATCTCACTGAGGCTGAATGGCTGGAAGAAGGGGGGGGGGGGAGACAGGCTGCCCTATAATTTTAACAGGCTCACTTTACTGTGCTGAGTAGCTATGTGGAACCATTAAAATCTGCTCTCAGCTCCAGTCATGAGCCTGCGTCAAAATGCGCCCGGGCGCTTCCTTTTTGTGTCGATTCTCATTTGGATCGCCTGGAAAAGTGGCTTTCTCGTGAACATTTTCGAATCTAACAAGGTACCCGATGACCAGAAGCTGAATGATGCTTAATTTGTCATGCGCTGTATTAGGCTGGACATATCCCGCGTATTAAGGAAAATTAAAGGACGTTTTTTTTTTTTTGAGTCGGGTAAAAGAGACATGAATGACTACGCTCCAACCGGGCAGTCATTCTCTTAGAAAGCCGACAAGGCAGAGCACCTCAGCATCTTGGGCGAAAGCCGTTAACATGAAGAGACAGCTACCAGCGGGGAACGTAGGCCGAGGCCGGCGTATGAAATTCCGAGTCAAAAGAGCTTGTCAAAGGGTAAAGAGGAAAAAAAAAAACAAAAAACGGTTTTACTGTATTCTTTTCTAATCCATGAAGGTTGGAATTATACAGTGACCGGTGTCAACGCTGTGGCCTTTTATTCTCCCGTTGCAGGAGTACACCATTGATGTATTCTTCAGACAGAGCTGGAAGGATGAGAGGTTAAAGTTCAAGGGTCCCATGGCCGTGCTGCGTCTCAACAACCTGATGGCCAGCAAGATCTGGACGCCCGACACGTTCTTTCATAACGGCAAGAAGTCGGTGGCCCACAACATGACCATGCCCAACAAACTGCTGCGCATCACGGAGGAAGGCACGCTGCTCTACACGATGAGGTAGGCTGCCGTCACGGGTTCGTGCAAACAATCAAATGTACTCTCGCAGACCAAATTGGATCTGCTGGTGTCATCTTTGCCAAAACGTGAATGCTAGGTGGGGAAGTCGAAAACGCTTCATGCGCACGTTGCCGAATGTCAGAAAACTGCTCTGAATTGCCACCAAAATTCACATGCACGTATCTATTCATGCCCATTTCAACCTCTGAATATATCCAAACGATCTCGTCACAGTAGTTTGGATTTTATGGGCACCAAGCCTTTTCCTCTCCTTAGAGGTTCACTATAGAGAAAACATTAATGTGAAAAAACTACGAGGAATCGTCACCAAAAACTCCTGCGGACATCTCTAGCTATTCACATCATCTCTGAAAATGTCCAAAACGATTGCCTCAATATTTGGGAAGAACAGTTTTCCTCATTCAACTGTAATGAGCACCTATAGAGAGGAAGATGTTGATGTCCCGAAAATCCAAAAAAATTGTTGCAACCGTTTTCATATTAGTTCGGGCAGTAGGCTGGTGAAGATTATTTGCATTTTGCTTTTGGGGATTGAGAAAATATGCCTAATCCACATTAAAACGTGACATTTGTGAAATGCAGAGTCTGTTGTCATGGTACTGAGGGAACATTTCAGCAAATGGTTGGCTTTGTGGTTTTATGAGGATTAAAACATTAAGCGTAGCATGGAGTTACGCAAGGGGGAACAATTTACGGAGAAATGGCAATTTTGTAGGATCTGCTTCCAAAAAATAATCATAGTACTGTAATTCGTAGAAAATTGACATATTTCTGCACTTTGGAAATTAATGTACTTTCAGTAACTTTTTTTACTGGAAAAAAAAAAAACAACGAATGCACGAACAACAGCAATTTTTATCTCTCTCTTCATAACGTCGCTGAAAAATTTCACAGTGCACACCGTGAGTTGCAGAAACCAACATACTGCCGCTGGTGCGCTAGGCAAGGATTGCAAGGCATTTATTTAGCATGTTTACTGGGGGGGAAAAATTTGGGATTGTTTCTGGGGGGGGGGGGGGCATGATGCTGTCACAGTTGAGCGAGATGAGGGGACGGTTGGAAGATTAGTGTGTCACGGCTGGCCTGACATGCTGTTTTTCTGCAAGCTGTCAGAAAAGAGAAGCTCAGGGGGAGAAAAAAATAAAGGAATCTTTCTGCGGTTCTGCGGAAGAGATGCAGTTTGACAGCGTTTACCTCCGATCGAGTGGAAATCAACAAAAACAGGACACCGCATGTTCCTGTTTGCACAACCGTTTCTTTTAATCATCTTCTCTTGTCTGCGTGACGGCTTTAGGCTGACTGTGCGAGCCGAATGCCCCATGCACCTTGAAGACTTCCCGATGGACGCCCATGCCTGCCCACTCAAGTTTGGCAGCTGTAAGTGCTCTCTGGAGACGCCACAACATCCGCGTACACAGCTCCATTCATATCGCCTATGAAAGCTAGATCTTTTTCAACCTGGCAATGAGCTAACTAAGGATGAAGTGTCAGAGGAATAACCAACGTGGGCTCAGTACCTGTTTGAAAGTGAACAGCACCAAGCCCACTTTTTTCAGTCGTTTGCATTTCAGAAGTCGCACTGATTCTGACGTCACGCGCTTATCTGATGCCAACAGGCACCCAATCACGCCAGTGTCCAACTTCACAAGGTTTTTTTGTGTGAAAGCCACAGGCTGATTAAATATCGGGTGTTTTAAGCAGCTCGGAAGCACCAGTTTTGTGGAAACTGCTTTTGATAAAGGGCTATAAATACAGGGATGCTCCTCCACAAATTTAGAACAGAAGAAGCCTCGTGGATTCAAGATGAAATCTAAGACGACGACAGCTTTGCTTCTTTTCCGCTTTTGGAGATGACCTACTTGACTGGAAATCTCCATAAAACGTCATCAAGGATAGACGCCAGCTCATGCCCTCGATCTTATGCCGGATAAGCGGTCGAGAAAATGGAAAGATGGATGACGCACGATCTCATGTTGCCCACTCACACCTCATCCAAATGGAAGTAGGAGCGATAAGGGACGACAACATGATAGCAGATGTTCCCCCAGAGGCGCTGTCCGCTAAAGCCCCCCCGGTCTCCTTCGACCCTGCCAGGCCATGCAAGTCCCTGCCAGACGCTGGCAGGCAAGCGACGTGCGGACCCGTATTTATCCAAGGCAGCGCTCTTTGAAAAATTTCCAGAGCGACTCACCAGCTGCTCACTGCTCACAGCTATATAAGCCCGTACCTTGCAACGCACTTCAAGACGGCATAACGAGCGCAAGAGAACCGGCGACCAGAATAGCCGATGAGAGAAAGGCTGCGCGCTCCCGTTGCCATTTGTCAGCCGGCTGTGCAACACCAGCGACGGGATCCGTCCTCGGCCGACACCGGTGCGTTGGCCCACCAACGTCCCACCTCCTCTTTAAATTGAATCCACTCCCTAAATATTTCAGTGTTTAGCTCTTTGCCTTCTGCCGCAGTCTGCAGCGGGACCATCCTTTTCCTCAGCAGTGGTCGAGCCACACTGCAGTTTTGACAGGTTGGCTGGCCGTAGGCAAGAAAACACTGACGTGGCTCTTTTAAGGTCACGCCGTCCTGTTGGGATGGTGAGCGTTTGTGTTCCTTATAAAGTCGGAAGATGGCATGATGTGACGCGGAAACGAGTGGAAAATTAGACGGAATGCAGATTTGATTTTTGAATTTATTATGATTGTTTTAATCTTTTCGTCCACTGTTAGATGCTTACACTCGAGCAGAAGTGGTGTACGTGTGGACCAAAGGGCCCGACCAGTCTGTGGTGGTGGCAGACGACGGTTCAAGGTTAAACCAGTATGATCTGATGGGACAGAGTGTGGATTCTGGAGTGGTGCAATCCAGCACAGGTAGGTATCGCTTTGCTCAAGTCTTGCGTCTTGCTGCAACATTACAAGACCGCATTGTATCATTTCATTTGGTTGTCATGTCAAATGGTGACAAGAAGCACAGTAAAGAATCACAAATGCAGCAATCAGCAATTATGTTTTGGGTAAACGTGGGACTATTATTTATTTATTTTTATTTTTTTAACTGGGCAGCTTCTGGTTTGATAATAAAAGTGCCAGCGTGAACATTATATGAGAAAATACCCACATAATGTATAAAAACGGCCAATTTTTCATTGCCTTACTCTGACGTGGGAACATCTGTCTTGCTTATTTGTCATCTCTGCGCAAACGGTGTTTTAGGATGTACTTAAAATGAAACCATTTGATGTCTTTGTCACCGTCACAAGCATCCATTTGTCAATTTAGAGAAATGACAGGCCTTGCCCTAGATTTGGATTTTCCCTACTGGCCATTGCATCGTGTTTTCCACCGACTCTTTTGTGGTCCATAATTGCAGACATTAGTTACCGCGCAAAATGGGAGGCCTGTTTGCAGCATTGCTGGACGGGCTGGTCGGAATGATTGAGAGCGAACTCTCTGAGAAACACGCTGTGTTGGAAGGGCGACAAGCACCTGAGGTGCATTATCCAAGCATCTTCATAAAAGCCAACCACAAAAAAAAAAAAAAAATGAAGACACACTTATCGCCTGATAAAAAATCGTTTAAACGCTGTCAATAATGATTGTGAAGTTTGGTTTGCAACAGGATTTAAATGCACCCGGAAAACAAACTGCATTTTAGTCCAAGGCCAAAAGTACAAAGTTGGTCCTTCTGGCTAAGCGCCAGGCCGATTGATTTCGAGGTGGTTCTTCTCATTGATTCATTTACACGCAATTCGATTTTCAAGACCCATGTACTGTAATTTGTAAGACACCTGCGGCAAGATGCCCGATATAGAAGAGTTTGAAAGTTGAAGTCATTGATGTTTTTGTTTTTCCGAGCTCTCTGACCACACATTTTCCCTGGTGTAGTTTGTATCAATCTATGTTTTTTCAGCTTTTTTTTTTTTTTTTTTTTTTTTTTTTATTTTGTATCAATCTATGTTTTTTCAGTTTTTTTTTTTTTACAGCACATCCAATTTTTCACAGCTCAACCACAATAGTTGCTCATTTTCTTTTAGTTAAAGAGGAAAGAACATATTCATTTGGAGCTTTTTTCTACATAGTACAAGAGAGAGAACAAAAGGTGGAACACCACCAGTGAGTCACGGGAGAACGGGAAGGTAGGGTGTGGTTATTTCGCGGCCGAGACTCACTGCTCATTGTGCCGAAAGGAATGGTCACTGGCACTGACATCGCCAACCATCTAATTATCTGAATGCACAAAGCCGAAACAACGTGACGGAAATGCATTCGGATCATCCGTGACGTTTTTTTACGTCCGCTCCGCAGGAGAGTACGTTGTGATGACGACCCACTTCCACCTGAAGAGGAAAATTGGCTACTTTGTGATCCAGACCTATCTGCCCTGCATCATGACAGTCATCCTCTCACAGGTGTCCTTCTGGCTCAACAGAGAGTCCGTCCCTGCAAGGACTGTCTTTGGTGAGTCATCTTGTCCCATATTGTATTTCTTCATTTCTTTATGTATTAGCGTATATTCGTTCGTGGGTTGGGACCAAACATTTAAAAGGGTTCCAAAAATAAAGAAGTTGCTACATGCGGAGATTAGCAAGAACTAACAGCTCATAAAGGGCTGGTGCGTGGCGACTTCCTGGAGTCTCGGCTGGTTGCCTGGCAACTCCCTTCTATCGATCTTCCTCATCTGACTCTCTGCACCGGAGCTAATCAGCATATACCCGGCATATCGCACGTGTCCTCGAACCGTTCCCTTCTGGCATACGTGACATCTTTAAGCTTATCTCTGAGCTGCCTATTAAAGCCACAATGCGACAAGATATTTCGATTCTATTCCATTCTGCACCAATGAGGGCGAATGAGGTTTAATCAGTCGGAGCTGCAGTGAAATTCCAGGCGAAGAGCTCAGTGGTGTTTAAGCTTTGAATGTGTGTTTGTGCCTCCTTAAGTGTGTGTGTGTGTGTGTGTGTGTATGCGTGTAGACATTAGAATGTGTGTGTCTGTCTGTCACACTCGGTTCTTATGTAACACTGGCCAACAGGAAAGCTCTTGCTTGCTAGTCCGCAGCATGCTCTGTAGCACAGCAGCAGGCGGAATGTCCTTGAGTTACCTCACGCGACACTCATTTTCCTGTTTTTTTTTCTTTTTGTTTTTTTGTTTTGTTTTTTTGCTTTCTCTCGCTCTCACAGTTGCCAGTATTTCCCTTGGCCCACTTTCACTGAAACATTTGCACTGCCATCTGATTTTGCAGCTCTTTTGCAACTCTCGTGCTGTATTTATTTATTTATTTGTTTTAACCTAGCGTGTCCTGCAACATTCCGGTATCTGGGAGTGCATTGCAGCGACCTGCGCTGCTCGTCACGTGTGTCGAGGAGAGAGCGAGGGTGGCCCAGATTGGATTTTAACATCCAAAGTATCTAGGTCATGTGTGTGTTCTGCATGCAATCACTGCTGGTTGTTGCACAGTGGAATGGCAATGGGGCTAAGGCAGCATATGGACACGGCATAGCACGTGCGTGCGCGTACACACACACACACACACACACACACACACACACACACACACACACACACACACACACACACACACACACACACACACACGAGGTAGGTCATTCGTGTAATTAATCTGTATTTTTTCGAGATGGCGGAATAATGAGCGCAATGCTCAAAGAAGTCAGTGATATTAATGAATCATTAAAAAAAACTATTCTGGTTTGTTAAATGTAAATTAAGATGCAAACTAAAATGCTGCCTTGTTAAATGCAAGGTCTAAAATGCTCAGCAAGTCATCATGACGGGCATCGGTCGATTTGTATATGCTCGGTCGGTCAACGCTGGCCAATGCATTATTCACATCTCGCATTCAATTAGCATCCACAAAATGACATTTGCACAGCTGAAGGCGTGACTATTCAGCAATGTAAAATAAAACATGCTGCAGGGAAACCAAAGCACTCAATCAGAAAGTGTCAAAGAAAATACACTGCAGGGTAAGGTCAGACTAATCTGGATGGGCGATGGACAGATCAATGCAGGGCGCAATCCCAATAACATATTGCATAAAATTAGCATACATTCAACTTCGCCCGCCAATTAGAAGAGCTCAACTTTTGGGGTTTTGTTTTTGCATTCTGCATTTGAGTAATTTGCATGGCTTTTTGCATTAATCATGTAACCATGTAGAGAAACAGAAGTACTTACGAGTCGTCCCGCTTTGAATGTCATGCCCTCCTCTTGTTCACGGCCAACCGTGGCGTAGCGAGGCACCCGCTTCTCTCTGATAAAGGATGAAAGCGATTGGAAAATGAATTGAGTGCTCACATGCATTTGGTCATTGATTAAGATTTCAAAAGCATGACGTTTTTTATGTCCAGCATTAACGAGTGCGCTTCAAGGTGCGACTTTTAAAACGGAATGCTGGTTTTGCTAACGTATGGTCTTGTCAAGGAGAAGTCCTTTTTTTTTTTTTTCGCTGAAATATGCAGAGAAACTTACACATTGCTCGCTTAGGTACACAACATTGTTCGTCAAAGCACGCGCTCCCTTTGTTTTACGCAATATGTCAAAGCGCGCATCACTGTGAATCTGAATTGGTGCTCTGCGATCCGACGTGCACAACACGGATGCATCGAGCCTCATTAACGTGAGCAAAGGCAGCGGGGGTAAACCATGGTTGAAAACATGTGACGTGACGAGAAAGCACGGTCTCACTAAATCAAGCTGAAGCCAATTGCCAAACACGACAGTAAGTGACCTTATCTTATTGTGCCAATTAAGATTGGATTTGCACAAAATGTTTCATTAAAAAAAACATTTTTCATTTTTGTAACAAATATTGTTGTTGTTGTCGCGGTTACAGTTGCACAAGAAATACTATATCGCCTCACCCGCCGAGAGCTTTCGTTTGGTAACCCAAAAAAATGGACTGTTCCGCCAGTGAGTGCTACCGCGTCCTACATCTCACTGTTCTTTTGACCTCATTCCACATTTTGGTTGTCATGTTTAATTGGTGACACACTCAGTCAAACCACTGTCACTAGCAAGTATTTGCCCAGAACCAGCGAGGCAGAGAGCCGGCGCGAGCGCAGCCATTTTTCTCAGAAGGTCCATTCTCACAACCACAGAGATTTGTTCTGTGTGGCTGCGATCCAGTAGTGGAATTTGGGATTAACTGAATGCTGTCATTTCAAGGGTACGCAATAAAGTGCTCATGGGGGGGGACAAACATCAGTTAGACCAGTAATGAGTATGCAGGACTGAAGCGGCGCATCACACTTTGTGCACAGAATGCAGAGCACTCTTTTACGTGGAACAGGGTCACACTTTTATGTTTAGAACTGCATCCTATTTATGCTTTCATCTATTGGTATGTTGGAACGTATTAAGAAATACCAAATTTTGGTGGTACTGTATACAGTATCTTGTGATCATCTATGACCATGAATGAATGCCCAGGAGCAAAAGAAAGCAATTTTTTTTTTTTTTTGCAGCTTCTTCACTTTGCACCTGTAAATTTGTTCGACGGCAGCCCCGTAGATAAGAAATCCAACTTTCTCAAGCTTAGCAAGGTTATGTCAAAAACTATTTAATCGGGCGTACGTTATCTGTGCCACATTTGATTCTTTGCTTTGCCTGTGGTGAGGCTCGTCCTTGCCCGAAGCGGCTGTAAAATAGTGGCTTCAACCTTGTCATTTATCACCTTCAAATTCAAAATTTACCTTGTTACCCAATATCAGGTGGTGTGCTTTGACGTCGAGGACGTCTAGAACTCTGTAGACTCAAATAATAAAAATAATCATCATTTGAAGACTTAAAAAGATAACGTTGGGGAATAGAGCTTGAGTCGGAAATGCTCTCAGTATATATTGAACCCCTCTTCGTTGGAAAATATAACAACACACCTTGTACAAGATATACTATAAATCAAGCGTAGGTGCTTGATCAATCGAAAAAGGAGGTGGGATGCTGTAGTGGTCAGCCGTGGCCATTTTGCACACCGCTCAAGGTAATCTTTTTTTGCCTCCCTGAGTGTCTTCACTTGTTAGAATAAGACAATGAAGGAGTATTTGTTTCCATGGTAACAGAACTAGTCAAACAGTAAACTATATATGACTGTTTTTTTTTATTTTTATGAGGACTTGTATAATACTCAGGGGTGCTTCTGGCATCCTCCCCCATAAAATTAAATGATTTACTGTGCAAACGTAGATATTGACAACATTCTGCGCACACCTACTGAGGCGAGCACCTGCCTGCCTCCGATGCGCGCCCGCACACTTCCGAATATGCATACACATCAGGCCCTCATCCACCTCCACCCAGCCCAAGTGTTTGTTTCCAAGTCCACCCATGTTCAAGTTTAAACACACCAGCCATCCATCTATTTAATATGTGTGGGAACAATAGATGAGAGGTGGCGCTGTGTTGTACCTGGCAAGACCATTAGCACACATGATTGCCGGCACAGGAGCTTCGTGCTGGATGCGCGCCAGCGGAAAATGCTTTGGCACTCTCTCTTCATGAGCTCTGGCACCAAAGTGACTCTGAAGAAATTGTGACAAAGCAAGCTGGTGCTTTTGCTCATGTTGCACCTGTATTACAAGTCAAATATTTGCTTTTCGTGAAAAACTAGGGAGAGTGTGGATTATTCATCCAGCCGTCCATCTTCTGTAGACCTCATTCGGGTCGCAGGTGAGCTGGAGTCTATCTTAGGGCGCATATAGACAAACAACCATTCACACTCATATTCACACCAACTGTATGTACAATTTAGATCTGGGATGGACAACTGGCACCCCTCAATTTTTTGAAGACAAAAAATATGCATAAGTGTGTGTGCCAAACTGCAAATATGACGTTTTAAGTTGTAATATCACCAAACACCACTAGATGATAGACATGTTTTAGTTGCACTGATGGGTCTTACACTGCTCTATATTACAATGGCTTCATATATGTATATATATATATATATATATATATA